TTCAGATACCAAAATAAACCACACAGACAAAAAAATCAAACTGTTTTTACATTAGGAAGTTTTATTATGTCTTCGACATGAAAAGCATAATAATAATAATAATAATTAATAATATTATATATGTACATAATATAATTGCGATCAATTCACATAGGGCTCTTTTAAAATGAAAAATAAAAAACAACACGCCTTTGAACCTGTAAAGAAGTCATTCAAATAAATTCCAACAAAAACCTTGTAACAGGCAGAGTATTAATTTGTCACACGCTTGGTCTACTGAAACCTCACAAACATGTTCTGCTAAATCCAAAAAAACCAAAAACAAAACAAAACAAAACAAAATGAGTAAAAGAGTACTGTTTAGTCAAAGCTGTCACAACGTGGTGGAATCATGTGCTCGTCAATTTTTGATCAAGTGGAGTTATTGATATCATTATCACCTGAAAGCTTATTCATTCCCCTTGCTTTCAATGAAATAAATATCCATCTACCTTGAATGGAAGTCGAGATATTTGCAGTTGAAGAAGGTGGGGTAACCTGGTTTCAGTGGTTAAATTAATGAGAAAATGGCCGCCTTGGTAACTTCAATAGCTGAAGAGTCCTTGAAAACTGAAAATTACATATTTTATGCCTTAATAAAAGGTGGGTTTTTTTAAAGTAAATTTTTCACCTGAAAATGTGTTTGAATTTGAATATGAAAGGAGTTTAGCAAAAAAAAATTTTTTTTTTTAAATTGAGAAAATGTATCCAAATAGGGGAAAAATGATATTTTCTTTGATTTTCTTATTTTGACGAGCGCCTGATTTCACCACGATGACTCACAAAGATCATTCCACAAACTATGAACCTGCAGTGACACACACATAGAGTGAGTGAATAATGAATGGCCCACTGGAAAAATTCGAAGCAGTGATAGAGTTGGGAGTTTTTGTATCGGTTTTTCTGTCTTTTATTCCTTTCTGTCTTTCTTTTTCTTGCTTTCTTTCTTTCTTCCTTTCTTTCTTTTTTTTTTCTTCATTTCCTATAGTCTTTTATACATTCTTTCATATTTTTTTCTTTCGTTCTTTCATTTATTATTTTAATTGGTAAAAAAAAACCCGACAACCCCCCCCCCCCCCTCTCACCCCCGAAAAAAAACCTAACGAAAAACATCCATACCACTATAACCATTTATCAGCGGGACCTCAAGTTTATGTGTGTCTCTGCAGCTTCATATGTCGTGGAATGACCCAAAATCTCACCGCACAATAAGATGGGCGGACACACCAGAAACAATCAGCTCATTATTGCGTCCAGATGAACAGAGTTAATACAAGATATTGCACTGTTGGTAAGAAAATGCATGAGTGAATCATAATTATCATAATATGACAATTTGTAATGCTTTGAAATTATTATTCATGAGTATGTTTGCAGTTTCTTACAGACGAGTGTAGAGATGAGGGGGGGGGAGGAGACCAAAGAGAATGCTGGAAAGGGCGGACTGGGGTCGGGCTTGAGGTTGGAAGGGGGGGGGGAGGATGGAGAGCCAGAGAGAGGCGACAGAAGGAGGGAGAGTTATTCAGTAAGAGACAAATAGATAGATAGATAGATAGATAGATAGATAGATAGATAGATAGAGACAGACAGACAGACTGACAGACAGACAGACAGACAGACAGACAGACAGACAGACAGACAGACAGACAG